CTTGAGCCACAGCATCACTTCTGGTTTTCTAGTGGCTTATTGGAGTTAAGAGTCTCTTGGAGTTTCCCGCCTGGCTGGTTTTGAATCTTAGCCTCCTGATTCGCTAGGATTACAGGTGTGAGCCACCAGCACCTGGCTAAGGGCTTATTTCTTTATTGCAGTTCTAGGGTATGTGTGTGTGTGTGTGGGGGGGGGCTTATTTCTTTATTGCAGTTCTGGGGTGTGTGTGTGTGTGTGTATGTGTGTGTGGCCCAGGTCTTGTAGATCCTAGGTAAGAGCTTTAGCACTACACCTCTAGTTTTCATGGGCTTTAATCCCCTCATGGTGGCAATGACACTCAAGGCAGACTCTGACATGTCCAAGTGGATGGCATTGCAGAGAGACTTGAAGTTTGTTTCCTGAAACCACCTTGTCCTTGCCCATCAGCCGTTAGGGGCCCTGTCCTGTACTGCCCAGCCTCTGGGTAGATGCAACTCCACATGTGCTGTGCTTTGCTGTGAGAGGGCCCTTCTCTGATAGACTGACATCTCTTCTCTATCTCCCCCCCCCCCCCCAGCCCCCAATAGGATTTTAAGTGACTCTGCTGTCAGAAGATGCTATTCTGTTTGTTTTTCCTTCTGACATTATCTCTCTGGAGGGTTTCTGGTCAAGAAATTATGTTGAGGCTGCAGATTGTGAGAGAATTGTGCTTAATGGGGAACAGACAAGATATCTTTCATGTCTAGCCAAGTTTCTTTTCCCTCCTCTTTCTCTCTCTCCCACTTCTCATCTTCCCTTTTTGGCTTCAAAGTTGGCCCGGGTTTGTGCTTGTTTCATCGGTACATCTGCTGAATAAGGTCACACATTGATCTTATTTGGGAGATTGGCAGCCTGGTCAAGCTAAGCTCTGGAGTTGGAGAGCAAGGCTGCTCCATAGAGGGTCAGCGGGGGTAAACTTGGCACACAGTTGGCTCCTAAAGTGACCTGAGCAGTGTGAGAAGCCCCAGTATCCAAAGTGCCTGCTTTCCTGGCATCTCAGCGCTCAGGAGCTCCAGGTGTAAAATAGAAGAAAAGTCCCTCTTTGTGTCCGCATCACACACCATTTAGCTGATCTGTGCCAACTTTGTAGAAAACAAAGTGTGAGCTGTGAGGTCTCTGAGGCCCTCAAAGTGATTATAGGAGAGGGACATAAGTTTAAGGACCTTCTACCTTGTAAATGGTTACTCAACCAGGCAGAGCCATGATATAAGCATGTTGATAGGAACTAGATGGAAAAGAAAGCCACTTTGTTGGACTGGAAGTGTAGCTCAGTGGAAGAACGCTTGCCTCAGTTGTACAGGCCCTGAGTTCCACTCCTCCACCCCACGCAGCCCTCCCCTCTCCAAAAGCCATTTTCTCACCTAAGCGCTCCTTGGGATAGGCAGATTGGGAAAACATTTGAGAGGCCAGTGGTGGTTTGGATTCTTTTGTCCTTAGTCATGAGGCTGATGTGACAGCATCCAGCTGATTTCATGGTAAAAACAGTCATGGCTCCCCACGTAAACTATTTCCAATTGCACCACTGTTAAAGGCCCACCCTATTGCAGCCTTTCACGAATGGCTCTTCCTTCCTCAAAACGCTGGTGGGAAGTAGAGGGTTACTCATTTTCCAAAGGACAAAGATGTCTTGGGTTTTAAGAATGTCTTATTTGACCTCATTCTTTCTGTCTAGCCTCAGGCAACAGAATTCACTGCTGGTCTCGCTTAGAGTGGGGAGGGGGCACGGTTTTACACGTTCAACCACATAGCACAGCCTGTGGGAGTTTGAATCTGGAGCAGGAATGTGCGTGCTAGGGAAATGGGATGACAGAGGGAGGCTAATCCTACTCAAGGCTGTGCTTCATTCTCTCCTTCCTTCTCACCCCCACTGCTTGTGGTTTCCGAGTTTGTTCAACATTAAGATGTGCCAGTTCTCAAGTAGTACAATAGAGTATACTGTACATTTCTTTTAGGGCAATACAAGTTTCAAAGTATGGTTGCAAATCTAAGAATATATGTTCCTTAAGCTGGGCATTGGTGGCTCACGCCTCTAATCCTAGCTACTCAGAAAGCTGAGATCTGAGGATCAGAGTTCAAAGCCAGCCCAGGCAAGGAAAGTCCATGAGACTCTTTTCTCCAATAAACCACTAGAAAACTGGAAGTGGTGCTGTGGCTTAAGTGGTAGAGCACTCGCCTTGAGCTGAAGAGCTGAGGGATAGCGCCCAAAGCCAGAGTTCAAGCCCCACGACTGACCAAAAAAAAAAAAGAATATGTTCCTTAGCAGTGCTTAAAGCCAGAGACAGGGGCTGAGGATGTTGCTCCATGATAGAACACTGACCTATCACAGATGAGGCCTTGGTTCAATCTAACACTTAAAAAAAAGAAAGGGGCAACAGGTCATCCCAATACGTTAGGAGGCCAAGGCATGCAAATCTTGAATTCCTAGCCGTGCAGGCTACACAGCATGACCTTGCCTAAGAAAAGTCAGAAAGTTGGGGCTGGGAAGGTGGCTCAATGGTAGAGTGCTTGCCTTGCATGCACAAGGCCTTGGGTTTGACACCTCAGTACCATATAAGCAGAAAAAGCTGGAAGTGGCGCTGTGGCTCAAGTGGTAGAGCGCTAGCCTTGAGCTGAAGAGCTGAGGGACAGTGCCCAGGCCCAGAGTTCAGGCCCCACAACTGACAAAAAAAAAAAAAAGAAGAAGGTGAGAAAGTGGGGCTGGGAAGGTGGCTCAGTGGTAGAGCGCTTGCCTTGCATGCATGAGGGCCCTGGGTTTGATTTTTCAGAACCACATAAGCAGAAAAAGCTGGAAAGTGGCACAACAAAAAAAAGAAAAGAGAAAAAAAGAAATTGACTGAGTATGCCTGGGTAGTGTAATGAGCAAGCTATGGACCAGGCATTAGGAGTCTTGAATTTGTTTTCGCTTGCCATCAATCAGTTCTCAGACAAGGAGGGGCCCATCCAGGGCCTCAGTGGCCTTGTCAACATAGGTATGGCCATATAGACTAAAATACCCCACCATTTTGAGATTAGAATAAGACAGAATAGGAAAATACTCAGAAGCCATGATATCACATCATCACCATCATCATCATCATCATCATCACCACCACCACCATCAGCAGCAGCAGCAGCAGCAACAGCAGCGAGGGTATTTCAATTTGAATAAAAGGTTGATTTAAGTAAGGCTGGGTGCCAATGGCACACACCTGTAATACAGGAGGCCGAGATCTGAAGGTCATGGTTCCAAGCCAGCCTAGGCTGGGAAGCTCCCTGAGACTGTAACCTTTAATTAACCACCCAAAGAAAGCTGGAAGTGGAGTTGTGGCTCAAGTACTAAGTGGAATGCTAGCCTTGAGGAAGAGATCTCAGGAATAGTTCTCAGGCCCTGAGTTCAAGTCCCAGGACTGGCAAGAGAGAGAGGGGGAGAGAGAGAGAGAGAACTTAAAAGCAGAGTACTTGCCTAGTATGAATTAGACACTGGGTTCTAGCTCCACAGGGCATGGGGTAGGGTAGTGGCAGGTGATAAAAATCTTTGAGGAACCCCTGACCCAACCTTGATGTATTGTTGGTATGTGGGGGTGTCAACACCCCAAACCTTTACAAGGCTGGCTTCAGGACAGACAAGGGCTACTGACAACATGGTTAGAAGTGTTTAGGCTGCTTGGGTGGGTCTGACCCAGGAGAGCATGTTGTCACTGAAGAAACTTGCCCTGGATGCTGTTACTGCATTCATGAAAATCTGGGCGTAACCCAACCAGCTGCCAGTGGTGTATAAAATTGAGTCTGGCTCACTTTTCTATGAAAGATCTTGCTCAGCTGTGGATAAACTGTATATATACTCTGCTTCCCCTTTAATCTGGATTTGATTCAGCTCCCCTGACTTGTATCTTGTTCCTCATATCCAGGCACAAGCCAGAGATCTTTTTTTTTTGTTTTGTTCCAAAGAGTTATACTAATATAGAGATGAGGAAGCTAAAGCTCCTAAGCCATCTGTAAAGTATGCTGTAGTACTTGGAGAAAGTTATGTCCTCTCTGGCTTCCATTTCTGTCCATAAAAGGGGAATGGGACTAAATTACCAAAAGTACCTTCCAGGGCAAACTTCTGACCTGGGCCAACATTCACCAATCAGGTTGGCTAATGTTGCCATCTAGAGGCAATTCTAAAGCGTTCTTCAGCAAGAGAAACTTTATAAAAAAAAAAAAAAAATTTAGAATCTTCCTATGTAGCCCAAGCTGGCCTCAAACTTGAAATCTTCTGCGGTACTAAGATTACAGGTATGCACCACCACACCCTGTTAAGACTTCTTTTTTCTGATGGGCTCTGGTGATTCATACGTGTAATTCTAGCCACTCAGAAGGCTGAGATCTGAGGACTGCAACTCAAAGCCAGCCTGAGAAAGGAAAGTGGGTGAGACTAGTATCTCCAATTAACTACCAAAAAAGTTGGAAGTGAAGCAGTGGCTCAAGTGGTAAAGCAAGCACAAAAGCTTAAGAATAATGCCCAGCGCTGGTGGCTCACATCTGTAATCCTAGCTATTCTGGAGGCTGAGATCTGAGGATCACGGTTCAAAGCCAGCCCTGGCAGGAACATCCATGAGACTCTTATCTCCAATAAACTACCAGAAAACCGGAAGTGGTGCTGTGGCTCAAGTGGTAGAACGCTTGCTTTGAGCTGAAGAATTGAGAGCCCAGGCAAGCCCCACAACTGACCAAAAAAAAAAAAAAAAATGTTCCCAGGTCTCATGTTCAAGCCCCAGGACTGGCACAAAAAACAAAACAACTCCCCTCCCCCTCCAACCTCCCCCCCAAAACAAAACCCTTCACTTTTCTTGCCCTTTAAGTCTCACAAACCCCTTTTCAACGATAGCATGATATATCCCATGGCACCTGTGACCCAGTGGTAGCCCTCCCAAAGCCAGGCTGCCATCCCAGAGAGGGAAGCAGCTGCTGCTTACAGGCTCCAGTGCTCTTTTGGTATATTCAGTCATCACACCAGATCATAAAAAATAAATCTTTTAATTGCTTTGTACTTGGCACAGATGGTATCATTCAAACTCACATTTTTATTTAATGGGCTGAAATATCACACTGTAGCTTTGAAACAGTACAGGGTTATTTTACAAAATTACATTCAGCAGCAGCAATATGTTCTGAAAATTAATCCATAAAATTAAGATTGGGGGTTGAATAAACAAGGAAAAAACTGTCTAGAAAATAAACTGAAGCTATCTGTTGGGAATAGTTGAGAATTGTGCTTTGTTTTTTGACAATCTTGCCACTTTATGAATAACTGAGAACTGTAAAATCCTGGCATATGAATACAGAGGGTAAGCTTTAATGTGTCTGGAAAGTGTACCCCTGGAAAGGAAAACACAAAGCAAGGCCTTGTTGAAACCATGTGCCTGTCTGAGGGGGATGAGATTCATTGGTCTTTGCTAAACATCACTAGAAAAGAATCATGGTGGAGAAATCTCATTCAATTCCCACTGCTATAGGTCCTAGAGGAAGCTCAAATCCGGTTGTAAAGAGGTTGTCAGAAAGGCTTACCTCTTAATTACAAGTACTCCTGGAACTCCAGGACCACCATTACAACTGTCAGTGACACTTTACTAGTGACAATTGGTGTTTGGAGCCACTGCTTGAAGTTACCTGTATGACTGTTCCTAGCAAAGCATACCTTCCAGATATACTGTCTAGAGAAAACTAGGGACAGAAACCACCTTATTCCAGAGCAGCAATGGCAATGGTTCAATGAAGAATTTCCTATTAAAGTGGGATGAGAAATGGCAATCCATCTGATTTCCCTGATTAGAGGCATCAGTGACCCAAGTTTTATCCGGGAAAAGGCATTCATGGATTGATTGGTGCTCCTGGGAAGAATTCAGTATTGAACTTAATTCCTGGCTACTCTTTTGCAGAAGTGTCTGCATTTCTCAAATCTGATCCAAAACTACTGCTTGAAGCCAGCTTCTTACAGCAAAGACTAAGCACAAATGGTTTCTTTCCATCAGCACATGTGATCCTCAGCACTCTATCCAGAGCAGGACTGGGCTGGAACATGGGGTGTATCAAGATGGAAGCCTAGCCGGGTGCCGGTGGCTCACGCCTGTAATCCTACCTACTCAGGAGGCTGAGATCTGAGGATCAAGGTTCAAAGCCAGCCCGGGCAGGAAAGTCTGTGGGACTCTTATCTCCAATAAACCACTAGAAAACTGGAAGTGGTGCTGTGGCTCAAGCAGTAGAGCGCTTGCCTTGAGCTGAAGAGCACAGGGACAGTGCCCAAGCCCAGACTTCAAGCCCCATGACTGACAAAAAAAAAAGATGGAAGCCTAGGTTAGTGCATAGTTGGTCTTCTTAGCTGTCCTTAGCTCAGTGTTCCTGTGTCACCCCCACTGGGCCCTTTAAGTCTGCTGTGGTCTTGTCTGGAACAGGTTTCTTTGAGTAATCCCGCTCTCCAAAAATGGTGCTCCCTATTCGGACATTTGTAGATCCTACTTCAATCTGTGGGAAAGAGAAGAAAACATCAAGGACAGAGTTTAACAGTAAAATGTGCTACTGTGTCTCTTTTTCTGGCTTCCCAGAGACTGTTATAAAGAACAGTGGGGTGCTGGGAATGTGGCCTAGTGATAGTGTGTTTGCCTAGCATACATGAAGCCCTGAATCCGGCACTGTGGCTCAAGCGGTAGAGTGCTAGCCTTGGGCAAATGAAGTGCAGGGACAGTACCCAGGCCTCGAGTTCAAGCCCCAGGACTGGCAAAAAAAACAAAAAACAAAAACAAGAGTGCCTTCGAGTGCAAGGTCCTGAGTTCACGAACCCAGAACTGGCACAAAGACCAAAAAAAAAAAAAAAAAGACTGGCTAAAGCTAAAGACTGCTAGGAACTGTCCTTGGAACAGGACTGCCTTAAAGTGGGTATTTGAGTAGCAGTAATTAATCCTTCGGTTGCCACAATGGTTGGGGAATTTGATGGTATTGGGTGAGGACCAGGGATGTTGGATGTCTTGAGGTATGTGACAAACAACTGCACAATAAAAGAGCTATTTTCGCAGCCCATTTGCCTTTCCAATGTGCTGGTTAGGCAAATGAAAACAACCTAATACTTATCTAAGCACACAAGCAAATGCCATGTTAGTTATAAGCACAAATATTTTCAAATTATATAATAATTATTAATATTTTACATTACATATGGTATATATAATCATCTGGAAGCAGAATGCAAATTTATACTTTAGAACTTTTTTTTTTGCTGTCCTGGGTTTATTCTGGGGCTGACCCTGAGCTTTTGTGCTCAAGACTAGCACTCCACCACAAGAGCCAAGGCTCTCAAGGAGTCTCATGGACTTTCCTGCCAGGGCTGGCTTCAAATTGTGATCCTCAATCTTAGCCTTCTTGAGCAGCTAGGATTATAGGTATGAGCCACTTGTGCATAGCTGATTTTTAGAATTGTTAATCAAGTTATTTACTATTTTAGAAACACATGTATCTGAGTTGCCATCTTATTTATAGTTGTTCTATTTTTACTTTATTTCTTTTTGTTTGGGGATCAGTTTCTCTCCCTCTGTTTGGGGATCAAAACCTAGGACTTATTACATCCTAAGCACACACTTTACCCTTGAACTATAACCCCCCTACTAGCTTATAACTTAATTTCTTATTTTTCTCATTTTACTTTAGGTTATTTCCTTTAAGGGGATTATACTGAGTTAAAAAAAAAAAAAACAGATGCAGGCTATAATTTCTGTAAATTACATTCCAAAAAAGCAAGATATGAAGAAGAGGGAACACTGGAATAGTAGAACCACTGCAACTGGGTACTCTGTTGCTTTGCTTAGAACTTTACAATGGAGGTTGAGGACACCAGGATACTTACTGCATGCTGGAAGTCACCGGACATGCCCATGCTCAGTTCAACCTGGTCAGCAGGGATGCTCAGTTTTTTACACAGCTCCTTTCTCAGGGACAGTAATACCTGACAGAAACACAAATGTGAGACTGTTCTACTCCTGCCGTCTCCAATTGTGTCTAACAATGGCTAGATCTGCTGGGCAAGGTAACACAAGTCTGTATTCCTAGTACTTGGGAGTCAGAGATAGAAGAATCTTGACTTTTTTTTTGGGGGGGGGGGGAGGGGGTCAGTCATGGGGCTTGAACTCAGGGCCTGAGTGCTGTCCCTGAGCTCTTTCTGCTCAAGACTAATAGTCTACCACTTTGAGCCACATAATTGCTTCTGGTTTTCTAGTGGTTAACTGGAGATAACAGTCTCATGGATTTTCCTGTCCAGGCTGGGTTTGAACTGAGATTCTCAGATCTCAGCCTCCTTAGTAACTAGACTTACAGGTGTGAGCTATTAGCACCAGACAGGAATCTTGACTTTTAATTTTGCCTGGGTAACATATCAAGATCCTGTTTCAAACCTCTCCTACCACAAAACAAAAACAACCAACAAAAAAAGAAAGCAAATGGTCAGATCTGAACTTCTCTAAAGATTGTTTTTTGATTCTTTTATGATTCTGAGGCCTGTTAAAACTGCTAGAAGTGCTGGGCAGGCTCACGCCTGTAAATCCTAGCTACTCAGGAGGCTGAGATCTGAGGATAGAGGTTCAAAGCCAGCCAGGGAAAAAAAGTCCATGAGACTCTTATCTCCAATTAACCAACAGAAAACCGGAAATGGTGCTGTGGCTCAAGTGGTAGAGCGCTAGCCTAACCACTGAGGGACAGTGCCTAGGCCCAGAGTTCAAGCCTCACAATGGACAAAAAAAACAACAAAACAACAACAACAACAAAAATTGCTAGAAGTTATTACATGGGCTTTAAGCTTTCAGTTTCCTTAGCTTTCAAGAAAACTATCAGGGCTGGGGTGTATCAGTGATAGAATGCTTGTCTAGTGGCTCTAGATTATATCCTCAGCACTGAAAAGAAAATCAAACAACAAAAAGAACACTAAAACAAAACAATCCAACCACAAAATAAAACTACAAGCATTAGGGGCGAAGGGCTCATTATTTGTAAGAATGTAGCCATTCCACAAGTTGAACTACTTCTGGGATGTCTCTGAACTTACTACAGTATTCCACTGTGATACTTCTGTTCCATTGTGGATACCGGGTATCAAACCAGGATCCCACACATGCAAAAACATATGCTCTATGAGCTGCAGTATGCTTTCACACATGAGCATCATCCCCAGCTCCTGGTACCTGAAAGTCTGGGTTTGGTCCTTGACTAAGGTCATGCCCAAAGCTTCCTATGGTCATCAGCCCCACAAATTCCAGGTTGGGGCACTTGGCATTGATGTGTTCCACCACTGCTATCATCTCAGCAGGCAGAAGGCCATGTTTACCTTCACAAAGGAGACAGAAGATGCATTTGGAGGTGAGTCCTAAAGAGCCAGAGGAAGGTACCATTCTCTTCTCTTCCTTGTAGAAGTGATACAGATGAATATCTTATGAAATAACCTACACTCAAGTCTTGTTTTTGGTGCTGGTCTTGGGACTTGACCTATGGATCTGGGCACTGTCCCTGAGCATGTATGTTCAACGCTAGCACTCTACCACTTGAGCCACACCTCAGCTTCTGGCTTTTTGGTACTTAATTGGAGGTAAGAATCACATTTTCCTGCCTAGCTGGCTTGGAACAATGATCTCAGATCTCAGCCTCCTGCGTAGCTAGGATTATAGGCGTGAGCACCCAGTTTGTCTTTTCTATTAGAGCTCCTCAGTGTTGTTCCCCTTCAGGTTCAGCTCTGAATTTCTCAAGGAGAAGGATGTAAATTTCATTCTCTTCACTACATCCCAGGATGATAACTTTTTATTTATTTTTGGTGGGGCGTCTTATATTCTTAGTAAGTGTTCTATTCCTGAACTATACTGCTGGCCTTTCTCAGGATTTTAGCTGAGACAGCAAGGAGAGGGAATAGAAAAAAATAATCTAACATTTCTTGGGACACCAGAAGAATCACACAGCCAAAATCCCAGATAAACCTGGTAACTATCTTTCTACATTTGATAGCTGTGGTTTTATTGATGTATTAACAGAATTACAACATAAAGTGTATCTATCTTGAATAGTTCTATTTAAAAGGCTTAACAACCGAAGGAAGTTATTTATGACCATTCACTTCCATACTAAGTTGGGGTGATTCACAGCTACTTGTCAAGAAATGATGTAATAAAGTTGACATAGAGTCAATCCGAGAATTGCCTATGTAACAATGTCATGTAGCATGTGTATACAGTACAATGGTAATTGTTGAAATCCAAGTCTGAAGAGTTTTTCATTTAATATAATAATAGCTCTAGGAGTAAGTTTTCCTACAAGCCCCATTCTAAAGATGAAGAAACTGTGACACAGGGAGGCTAAGTGCCTTTCTAAGGTCAAACAAACAGCAACTGCAGAAGTGATATTTGAACGCAGGTAGCTTGACTCCAAGGCATATCTGGAAACAGATGCCTATACTGTGCCCCTTCATGCTAAGACTCAATGAATATAGTTGCCTGGATGGCTGTAAGCAAATGCATGATATTCAAACATTTCTTTTCTTTCTTTTTTTTGTGCTGGTCTTGGGGCTTGAACTCATGGCCTGTGAACTGCCCTGTAGCTTTTCCACTCAAGACTAGCAGTCTCTCCTTTGAGCCACAGCTCTACTTCTGGCTTTTTGGTAGTTCAAGATGTCTTTCTGGACTTTTCCTTCCAGGGACAGCTTTCAATCTAGATCCTCAGATCTCACCCTCCTGAATGGCTAGGATTACAAGTGTGAGACATCAGCTCAAACATTTATTTTTATTTTTTGCCAGGCCTGGGCTTGAACTCAGGACCTGGGCACTGTCCCTGAGCTTCTTTTGCTCAAGGCTAGCACTCTGCCACTTGAGCCATAGCACTACTTCTGGCCTTTTCTGTATATGTGGTATTGAGGAATTGAACTTAGGACTTCATGCATGCTAGGCAAGCACTCTACCATTAAGCCACTTTCCCAGCTGTCAAATGTTTATTCTGAATAGAAATCTAACAAGTAAGATGTTTAAGGTTCTGTGTTCCCAGCTTTGCTTGCATCACATCCAATCCTCACCTCACTCTCTGCCATGGGTATAATTAGGCCATTGCCATACAAGCAAGTTATAGAGAGGATAGGTCACTGACCCAAAGTTCCAAAGCTCAAAATAAGTATAGCTCAAGCCCTGCTTAACTGATATCAAAGGCCATACTTCTCCCTGTTAAGAGTGTTAACCCAATCCTCCTGACAGTCTCCGACTTGTGCTCAGCTTTCCCTTTGTGTGTATGTGTGTGTGTTGGTACTGGAGCTTGAACTTAAGGCTCTGTCCCTTAGCTTTTTCACTCAAGGCTAGCACTTGAGCCATAGCTCCATGATCCTTAGCTCTCAGCCTTCTCAGTAGCTAGGATTATAGGCACAAGTCACTGGCACCTCTTTTGTTTTTTTCTTTTTGGTTGTGGGGCTTGAATTTGAACTCTGGGCTTGAGCACTGTCCCTGCACTCTTCAGTTCGAGGCAAGCGCTCTACCGCTTGAACCACAGCGCCACTTCCGGTTTTCTAGTGACTTATTGAGATAAGAGTCTCACAGACTTTCCTGCCTGGGCTGGCTTCGAACCTCGATCCTCAGATCTCAGCCTCCTGAGTAGCTAGGATTACAGGCGTGAGCCACCGGTGCCCGGCTTTTTTTCTTGAGTGTTGAATTACAGGAATGTATCACCATACCCAGCTTGATGAAGTATTTTTTCTTATACATGCATTATTTTTTATACACGTAACTATAAATCCTTTGAGGAGTGGTGACCTTTGGGAATTTTTAGGAGATCAAAGACAATCCCTTCTGATTCTTCCTCTCTTCCCACAAATTAAGACGTAACACACATGGTGTATTAAAGAATTATGCAGACTGGCTTCATGTCATTACACTTCTAGATCATACATGAAACAGTGAGTTTCTATAGTCCTATCCCCAGATAGTAATGCTCACCATTCTCTCTGCATTTTAGCTACCCTAAGGGAAGAAACCCTGCAATTCAGATCTGGTAACTTACTCTCTTCTCCACTTGTATTAATCTGGACCATAACTTTTAACCTTTCTGGAGAACTTTTTTTCTGCCAGGAGCTGTTCACTTTATCTGCCAACTTCACAGAATCCACTGTTTCCAGCATGAACAGGTTGGGGACAGCTGTAATGAGAAAGAGGTGGGAGATTCTTTATTTAACCTACTGCAGCAGGCACATGCAATAAATCTTTGAGGTGGTAGAAGAAAAAATATCCCTGGAAAAGAAAGACAGTTAAATCTTCGTTCCATTAAACACACAAATATGAGAGTTTTGCTAAACTCAAGTTCAAAGGTTAGACCATCTTGTTTTATCAGCAAAGTAAATACCAACATACTATAATCAGACAGCATAGGTACCCAGGTGCTTCAAGAAGCTGGTAATTAAAGAGATTGTGAATAGTAGGCGTGATCTAATTATGTATCAGTTCAAACTGAGAAATGGCAAGATGACAATGACCATGTTCTAAAGTTTCTGCAATAGGTCCTTTGAAAAGGACTGAAAACAAAATGAACCACATAGGAAGCAAAGATGCAATTACCAATGATGAAGTTTCCAATCTTGCCTCAGATAAAAGAGTGATAGTGGCAGAGGCAAGCCTGCACAACTTATTTTTTACTCAACACTGAAATCTTTTGTAGAGTATGCTAATGATTCCCTTTCACTTTCTCTTTTCCTTCCTTCCTGTGATGGGGATTGAACTCAGGGCTTTGTGTATACAGGAAGGTGTTTTACTGCTGACCTTTTCCTTTTTTTCTTGAGACAGGGCCTTGCTATGTTGAATAGGATGGCCTTGATCTTAACGATTTCTTTTTTGGTCAGTCATGGGGCTTGAACTCTGGGCTTGGGTGCTGTCCCTGAGCTCTTCAGCTCAAGGCAAGCGCTCCACCGCTTGAACCACAGTGCCACTTCTGGTTTTCTGGTACTTTACTGGAGATAAGAGTCTCATGGACTTCCCTTGACTGGCTCTGAACTGTGATCCTCAGATCTCAGCCTCCTGAGTAGCTAGGATTACAGGTATAAGCCACTGGCACCTGTTTGACCTTAAATTATTTTCTTGTGTGAGTATACTTAGCACTACAGGTAAGTGCCACTGTCCCCAGCCAACATTATTTATTTGCAGTCTTCACCACAGTTCATGAAACATTATTTTTTATTTTTTTTTTTCCCGGTCGTGGGGCCTGAACTCTGGGCCTGGGCACTGTCCCTCAGCTCTTCAGCTCAAGGCTAGCGCTCTACCACTTGAGCCACAGCGCCACTTCCTGCTTTTTTTCTTATGTGGTGCTGAGGAATCGAACCCAGGGCCTCAGGCATGCAAGGCAAGCGCTCTACCACTGAACCACCTTCCCAGCCCTCATGAAACATTATTATCTCCATATAGCAGGGAAAACAGAGGTGCTGAGATCTGATCTAAGCATATTGACTATATTTTTTCTTTTTCTTTTTGTGCTAGTGATCAAACCCAGGCCCCTGCAAATGATAAGCCAGGACTCTATCACTGAGCTATATCCTCCAAGACAGACCCAACCATCTTAGAATCTTTCTGGATAGATATAGAAATGCTGACTTATTTAAAACACTAGCGCTTGGTGCTGGTGGCTCATGCCTGTAATCCAACCAAATGGAAGCTGAGCTATGAAGATCCCAATTTGACGCCAGTCCAGACAGGAACATCCATGACTTTCATCTCCCATTACACACACACACACACACACACACACACACACACACACAAGAGTGGAGGTGTGGTTTAAGTGACAGAATTAACACACACACACACACACACACACACACACACACACACACACACACAGCCAAAAGTGGAGGTGTGTGGCTTAAGTGACAGAATGTCAGCCTTGATCGAAAATGGTAAGCATAAACATTGGTCTTCAGTTCAAGCCCCAGTTTAGGCACAAAAAGAAAAACAAAAACACTAGATGTTGGCCATTTTTCTTTTTTTAGAAATCTGATTAATAAGAAATGGAATTCATTGGGGCTGGGAAGGTGGCTCAGTGGTAAAAAGTGCTTGCCTTGCATGGACAAGGCCCTGGGTTCAATTCCTCAGCACCATATAAGCAGAAAAGGCCAGAATTGGTGCTATGGCTCAAATGGTAGTGCTAGCCTTGAGCTGAAGAGCTGAGGTACAGCACACAGACCCAGAGTGCAGGTCCCACAACAGACAAAAAGAGAAATGGACTTTATTATTTTATATTTCTGGTCTAGATTAAAACACTCTTTGCTTAGTTACTGATCTTTTGTATTTTTCCTCTTTGTAAAATGCCTGTTAATTCTTATGTATTTCTTATAAATAATATAAAGATTGTTTTTATTTATGTTTTGGACAGTAATGTTTCCTCCATTTCAAAGTATTACATTCCACTCAATCTGAACTTATATTTAGCATTGACATACAGAAACTAATTTTTGTTTAATCAAATTTGCTGTTTTTAGTCCCTACTTTTTTTTGGGGGGAGGGGGATTGGTTGTGGGGCTTGAACTCTGGGCTCTTCAGCTCAAGGCTAGTGCTCTGCCACATGAGCCACAGCACCACTTCCGGCTTTTTTTCTTTTTGCTTATGTGGTGCTAAGGAATCAAACCCAGGGCCTCAGGCATGCAAGGCAAGCGCTCTACCACTGAGCCACCTTCCCAGCCCAGGAAAAGGTCTTTCTGAGCAGGACAAAAATCAAGGAACTAAGCCGGGCACCGGTGGCTCATGCCTGTAATCCTAGCTACTCAGGGAATGAGATCTGAGGATCTCAGTTCAAAGCCAGCCCAGGCAGGAAAAGTCCATGAGACTCTTTTTTTTTTTTAATAATTTTTTTGGGTCCGGTCGTGGGGCCTGAACTCTGGGCCTGGGTGCTGTCCCTCAGCTCTTCAGCTCAAGGCTAGCGCTCTACCACTTCAGCCACAGAGCCACTTCCGGCTTTTTTCTTTTTGCTTATGTGGTGCTGAGGAATGGAACCCAGGGCCTCAGGCATGCAAGGCAAGCACTATACCACTGAGCCACCTTCCCAGCCTCCATAAGACTCTTATCTCCAATAAACCACTAGAAAACTGGAAGTGGTGCTGTGGCTCAATCGGTAGAGCACTCACCTTGAAGAGCGCAGGGACAGTGCCCAAGCCCAGAGTTCAGGCCCCACGACCGGACCAAAAAAAAAAAAAAGAAAGACCTTTTCCTAAGTCTCAGAAAATTAAGTACTTTCCTCTATTTGTAATATTTTAACTTTTTTTTTTTTGGCCAGTCTTGGGGCTTGAATTCAGAGACCGGGCACTGTCCCTGAGCTTCTTTTGCTCAAGGCTAGCACTCTACCATTTGAGCCACAGCACCAGTTCCTGCCTTTTGTGCTTATGTGGTAGTAAGGAATTGAGCCCAGGGCTTCATGCATGCTAGGCAATCATTCTACCACTAAGCCATAATCCCAGACCAGTTTACAGTTTTTATTTCAAATTAAGAATATAAATTCCTGCCAGGCACCAGTGGCTCATGCTACTCATGAGGCTTAGATCTGAGGATCACAGTTTAAAGCCATCCAAGGCAGGAAAGTCCCTGAGACTCTTATCTCCAATTAACTCCTAGAAAACCAGAAGTGGCACCGTGGCTTAAGTGGTACAGCGCTACCCTTGAGCTGAAGAACTTAGGGGAAAGAGCCAGACTCAGAGTTCAAGCCCCATGACTGACCAAAAAAAAAAAAAAGGTGTATGTATGTATGCATGTATATTGTGTGTGCGTGTGTGTGTGTATAAAGTTCCTTCACACCTAACATGAAGTATCTTTTAACAATACATTATATATCTCCCAGATAAGACACAGTATAGAAATCAGATTTTCCCTTTTCGTTTTAAAAATACTAGTACTGGAGTTTAAGTTCAGGGCCTTGCCCTTACTACTCAGGTGCTTTACCACTTGAGCCATACTTCTAAGCCTTTTTTTGGGCTTTAGTTTTTAGGTGGGTCTCACTTTTTACATAGGGCTTCAGACTTTGATCCTCTTACCTATGACCTACTGTACACTTGTGATGACAAGTGCGTGCTACTAAGCCTGGCTTATTTTATGGGGATAAGGTCTTAATAATTTTTGTCTGGCCTAGCCTTGAATAATAGTCCTCCCAATCTCTACTTCCTGAAATTATAGGCATGAGCCACCTTGACTAGCTGTCTAATAACCAAATGAATAAAATATATGACATCCATATAAAAGAATGGCTTATCAGAACTAGGTATCATGCAATAAAAATGATCTGAGAGATGGGAAACAGATGAGATGAGCTTCTACAACTGCCCCAGCTTACTCTGAGTGTTCTAGAATATGATGCTAGGGAAACACAAGCAGAGTGTAGTAAACTCCTGGTTGAGGACATGGAGCTGAGCATATGGAAAGACTTAGGCAGCCAGAATTCACCTGTCAGGATGTGGAAGAGGAGAGACCTGCCCAGAGAGAACCCAGTGATGTATCTGCACTAGGCTACTTCAGGTATTCAGCTGGTTACTAGTCAGCGTGTGCATGTAAGGAAAAGATTTGTAAATCATGTTTTTTTGTTTTTGGCTGGTCCTGGGGCTTGAACTCAGGGCCTGGACACTGTCCCCGAGCTTCTTTTGCTCAAGGCTAGCACTTTACCACTTGAGCCACAGAACCACTTCTGGCCTTTTCTGTTTATATGGTACTGAGGAATCCAACCCAGGACTTCATGCATGTTAGGCAAGCACTTTACCATTAAGCCACATTCCCAGTGCAAAAAAACTTTCTTTTTAAGAGAAATAAGTTCAGTTACTCAAGATCTCTATGGTGTCATGTTGTTAAATCTTACTGTAGAAAACTATTAATACTATTTTTTGTGTTGTTGGAGAATTAAATCTAGGGCCTCTATAATCCTAGGCAAGTGCTCTAACAGAGCCACACCCTCATTCATTTGTAGTCAATTCCTAATTTTACTTTACACCTTTTTATTCATTGTATATATACACACACACATATGTACATATACGTGTATATACATATACACGTATATGTACATATATACATGTACATGTATATTATTTTGCTAGTCCTGGGGTTTGAACTCAGGGCCTGGGCATTGTCCCTGGGCATTTTTCTCAAGGCTAGCACTCTACCACCTTGTCCATAATGCCACTTCCAGCTTTTTCTGTTTATGTGGCACTGAGGAATCGAATCTGGACTTCATGCATACTAGGCAAGCGCTCTACCACTAAGGCACACTCCCAGCCCTATTTATTGTTTTTTTGTTTGTTTGTTTTTTTGTTTTGGTCCGATTGTGGGGCCTGAACTCTGGGGCTGGGCGCTGTCCCTCAGCCCTTCAGCTCAAGGCTAGTGCTCTACCACTTGAGCCACAGTGCCACTTATGGCTTTTTTTTTTTTCTGCTTATGTGGTGCTGAGGAATCGAACCCAGGGCCTCATGCATGCAAGGCAAGCGCTCTACCACGGAGCCACCTTCCCAGCCCCTATTTATTGTATTTTATCAAACAAAACCCCACAACACAAATAGTGAGTTGGTGTGTTGTAAAAGTTGCTCTATTTTTTGCTAGAATGGGGGCTTGAACTCTGGCCCCATGGCTGGCACTCTTACCACTTAGAGAACACTTAGAGAACACACCTCCAATCATGCATTTTGTTGGTTAGCTGGAGATAAAGTCTTGAGGACTTTTCTGCCTTGTGTGGCTTCAAATCTCAACCCTCCAATCTCAACCTGCTGAGTAGCTAGGATTACAAGTCTGAACCATAAGTGCCTGGCTGAAGCTATTCTCTCTTATGTAGAAGGTGGTATAAGTCATATAACAGAGTAGGTTTTTTTAAAAATATTTTTTATTTATCAATTGGTAAAGATTTGGATTGTTTGACTCTTGGCTATTGTTCATAATGCTAATAGGTTCAAGTTTTTTATTAAATTAACATATATGAGTTCTACAAAGGGGTTTCATTGAAATATTTCCACAACATATACAATATATCCTAATTAAAGTTACCCAGTCTATGGCTTTCCCTTACTCAAGTCCCCATTTCTTTTTCATTTGTTCTTTGTGCCTATCCTGGGGCTTAAATTCAGGGCCAGAGCGCTGTCTTTATTTTTTTTGCTCAAAGCTAGTCGTGTCCCTTCCTCCCTCCCTCCCTCCCTCGCTTCTCTCCCCCCTTTCCTTCGTGGTTAATTCGAAATAAGAGTTTCAATTACTTTCCTGCTAGGGCTGGCTTTGAACTTTGAACCTACGATCTCAGCCTCCTGCATAGTTAGGATTATAGGTGTGAGCCACTAGCATCTAGCTCTACTCTCCATTTCTCCCCCCGCCTTTTTTTTTTTGCTAGTCCTGGGACTTGAATGCAGGGCTTAGGCACTGTCCCTGCCGTCTTCAGCTCAAGGCGAGTGCTCTACTGCTTGAGCCACAGAGCCACTTCCGGTTTTCTAGTGGTTTATTGGAGATAAGAGTCTCACAGACTTTCTTGCCCGGGCTGGCTTTGAACCGAGATCCTCAGATCTCAGCCTCTTGAATAGCTAGGATTATAGGTGTGAGCCACCAGCGCCTAGCCCACTCTCCATTTCTTAAAACAGTCTCAACAAGATTTTCTGTTCTACTTTCAAAGATATAAATAAACTATTTCAGCCATATTAATCCTCATTAACCCTGTTAGCCCTCCACTGCCAACAGAGCCTATGACAGAGCAGTTCTGCCTTCATACAGTTTTATCTTACCCATCAATTTGTTGACATTTTGTTTCTGTAAGTGGCCAATGAAGTGCCATTTGATCTCAGGACATGAAGATAGAATCTGAAGAGAAAAAAGGTAATTATGTTTGACTCAGACTTTATGTAAGACTTGATGGTCAAAATCCTTGCACAGTCCTGGGAACCTTTCATACAGTTAAATATAGACTCTCTAAGTGTAATAAAATTAGTCTCCTGATGAGGCAAAAGGATCATCAGAGAAAAACTTAAGGCATCTGCTCCGTTTCCCATCAGTCTCTCCATTTCCCAGATACAACTCATCAAGAATGGAGAGGTTCAAGGGTTCAAATCTCACAAGATTTTAGGAAGCCTCTAAAATCACCATTTCCAAACAGCCACAAAAGAGAAAGTTACAGTCTAAATAAAGACAGACAATTGATGGGCTGGGAATGTGGCTTAGTGGTAGAGCACATGCCTAGCATGCCATAAAGCCCTGGGTTTGATTCCTCAGTACCACATATATAGAAAAAGCCGGAAGTGGTACTGTGGCTCAAATTGTAGAGTGTTAGCTTTGAGCAAAAGAAGCTCAGGGACACTGCCCAAGTCCAGAGCTCAAGCCCCAGGACTGGCAAAAAATAAAATAAAGATAGACAATTGAGAATTATTTGGGGCTCAAGGGTAAAGTGGACATTTCAACTCCCAAGCCAATGTCTTCCTCTAAAACTCCACCATCAACAAAGGTTTAATTTTCAATCAAAAAGCCATGATTTACATACAAATGAAGGCATTCTGATGTCTACTTACTTTAGGATTTGATGCTTTTTCTAGTAGCTCCTGCACCTAAAGGATAAAAGCAGAGTAAGTCAGAAGCTTGTTAACAATAGCACTTCCAAAGGCCCTTTGGGAAAGGGTTCTTACATAGTTCTCTCCAAAAGTACGCTGGCCATGATTGTAAGCCTCAATCACCATGTCTGCAGGTTTGGTTTTGCTGACTGCTACAAGCCGGGGTTGGATAGCTGGGAGATCCTGCCAAGAGGTAAAGAGCCACATAAGTGAATGTTTGAGAATATCCCAAGTCCAGTAGGATACATTCTGTAAAACAGACTGCAAGAAAGCTGGGTGCTGGTGACTCATGCCTGTAATCCTAGCTAATCAGGAGGCTGAGATCTGAGGATCACAGTTCGGCCAGCCTGGACAGGAAAGCCAGTGAGACTCTTACCTCCAATTAACCACCAGAAAACCTGAAGTGGCGCTGTGGCTCAAGTGGTAGAGTGCTCGCCTTGAGCTAAGAGCAAGGGATAGCTCCCAGGCAAAGTTCAAGCCCCATGACCGACAAAAACAAGAACCAAACAGACTACAAGAGATCAACCTCAAAGGGTGGAAGCAAATACCTTATATTCAACCTAATGTTAAATTATCTTATTAACAGAAGACATTTCTTTCTCTGGAGTGCTGAGCAAGTTAAAAAAGGATTTTCTTGAGGTGTAGTCTTTGATCAACTTTATCAGCATCACCAAGTTCCCAAGGAGTTGCGATGAATTGACTGGAGAACAAGAAATCTTTTTTCTTTTGGCTTAAAATGTTGAACATGGAATCCAGGGCCTCATTCAAGCTAGATACTCTACCCTAGTCTTGTGAATCTCCTTTTTGTTTTTTTGGTGTCAATCTTGGGGCTTGAACTCAGTGCCCTGGCTCTGTCCCAGTGATCTACCACCTAAGCTATAGCTTCACTTTTTAGTGGTTAATAGGAGATGAAAGTCTCATGAACTTTCCTGTCAGGTTCAAATGGTGATCCTCAGATCACCTGAGCATCATCCTGAGCAGCTAGGATTATAGGTATGAGCCACTAGCACTCAGCTGAGAATTGTGTGTGTGGGAGAGTTGTGGGGCTTGAACTCTAGGCCTAGGCGCTGTCCCTCAGCTCTTCAGCTCAAAATGAGCACTCTACCACTTGAGTGATAGCGCCACTTCAGTTTCCTGGTGGTTAATTGGAGATCAGAGTGTCACAGACATTCCTGCCTGGGCTGGCTCTGAACCACAATCCTCAGATCTCAGCCTCCTAAGTAGCTAGGATTACAGGCGTGAGCCACTGGCATCTGGTGAATTTCTTTTTTGGTCAGTCCTGGGGCTTGAACTCTGGGCCTGGGGGCTATCCCTGTGCTCTTCAGTTCAAGGCGAGTGCTCTACCGCTTGAGCCACAGCTCCACTTCCAGTTTTCTAGTGGTTAATTGGAGGTAAGAGTCTCACGGACTTTCCTGCCCGGGCTGGCTTTGAACTGTGATCCTCAGATCTCAACCTCCTGAGTAGCTAGGATTACAGGCATGAGCCACCAGCGCCCAGCCAGAATTTCTTTTTAATAAGTGATTCTCAAGATGATTCTCCCAAATACTAATTTTGGAGATTTAAAAATCAGTTCATGGGCAGGGGTATGGCTCAATGGTATATGGCTTGCTAAGCTGGGCAAGCCTGAGCTCTGGTTCTGATCCTAACACTTCAACAAAACAAAAAAACTATCACATCATTAAAAACTCAGATTAGCACTTTTGGCTTTTAAAACCCCAGTCAGCTTTGGTGACGGTAGTCTCTTGTAATTTTTCATTTTTTAATTTTGTTGGTTGTGTGACTTGAACTCAGGACCCGGGCACTATCCCTGAACTCTTCTGCTCAAGGCAAGTTCTCTACCACTTTAAGGCACAGCACCACCTTGTTTTCTGGTGGTTAACTGGATAAGAGTCTCACCAACTTTTCTGCCCAGGCTGGCTTTGAACTGTGATTCTCAGATCTCAGCCTCCTGAGTAGCTACAATTACCGGTGTGAGCCACAGCATCTAGCTAGTCTTGTGTAATGTTTTTCCAGTCCTGGGGCTTGAACTCGGGGCCTGGGCACTGTCCCTGAGCTTCCCTGAGCTTCTTTTGTTCAAGACTAGCATCACTTGAGCCACAGTGCCACTTCCAGCTTTTTCTGTATATGTGGTACTGAGGAATAGAACCCAGGGCTTCATGCATGCTAGGCAAGCACTCTACCACTAAGCCACATTCCCAGCCTTGGTGTAATTTGTTTTATTGTTTTTGTTGGTTGTGGGGTTTGAACTCAAGGCCTGGGCACTGTCCTTGAACTCTTTTGCTCTACCGCTTTCAGCCACAGCTCCACTTCTGGTTTTCTGATAGTTTATTGGAGATAAGAGTCTCACAGACTTTTTTGCCTCTTCTGTCTCTGAACCACAATCCTCAGATCTCAGCCTCCTGAGTAGCTAGCTAGGCTTACAGGTGTGAGCCACCAATGCCTGCCTCTTGTGTAATTTTTAATGTTGCCTTCATTCACTCTGAAAGTAGCCTAAATAGGCTAATAAATACACTGTTCAATCTGTGACTCAATCAACTGATGACTGTGACATAATTAGACCTATATCTAACTTCTCCCAGTAGCCATTATCTAAAAGGCAATTTTCCATGCACTCAGCTGCAGCCAAATGTACTGAGAGGTAACAAGAGACTCCTTAAACAGTTCGTTTTTCCCACTGCCCCTCACCCCTACTCATTGTGATTTTCATGGAACCACAGCATGTTCAAGGGCCTGAAAAAGTTAGGACCATTAGTACATAGTATCCTCTTGCTTGCTACTGTGGGAGGGGCTGTCTTTTCAACCTTTTATGAGACCATGTCATAATTTCTAGGATTATGTACATAAATTGATGGCTTCCAGAGAGAAAGTGCTACATGCAGTTGGGCTGGGCACTCCCAGAATGCACCTAATAGACTTTCCCACACCAATATGTATTAGAGTAATCCCTAGGCTTTCCTTGGAGAATCACTGAGGATCACAGAACAGTAAGGCCAGAAGAAAGCTAAGAACTTTCAGAGCCCATCCTACTGCATGTACAGATGAGGAAACTGAGGACCAGTATAGTTAAGTGACTTATTCAAAGCAACATATAAAAGCAGTTAAGTAAAGACTAATTAGAGGGCTGAAGGTGGCTCAGTGGTAGAGTGCTTGCCTTGCATGCATGAGGCCTTGGGTCCGATTCCTCAGCACCAGGTAAGTAGAAAAAGCCAGAAGTAGCATTGTGGCTCAAGTGGTAGAGTGCTAGCCTTGAGCTGAAGAGCTGAGGGACAGTGACCAGGCCCAGAGTTCAGGCCCCATGACCTACCCCCCCCCCCCCAAAAAAAAAAAAAAAGACTAGGTCTTCACTCTTCAGAACAGCATTTTAAATACTTGCTTAGAAGATTTTTTTTTTTTAACCTTTTCTGTTTAGGGCTGTCTCATTTCACTCTATTCACCTTAGCTTGCCTGGAGATGAGTTGACCTCTGGACTTTTGGTCTCATCAAAGTTCAAGAGAAGACAAAAATATATACAGAAGAAAAAGGAAAGGGAAAAAAAAATCTCCCCTGAAACAGCTTGTTGATAGACATCTGACAGCTCCTGGCTACTCCAAACGCCCAAGTGCAGGTTTGTCGCCTGTAAAATCAGGTCAATCCGTGCCCACGTTGGCCAAGGGTGGAAGTGACTGTCAGACGCGATCGTGGGAGGGTCTGGCTCCTTTTCGTGTTTCTGCTATCAGACGCTCCCGGTGCGGCCTCTGGGTTGGGGGCGGCTGGCTCTCATGGGGGCCACCAAGACCCCTACACCGAGCGACAGGAAACGGCCCGACGCGACGGTCCCCCGCGGGACAAGCCCGCCAACCTCGGGGCAGCCAAGCAGGCTCAGCGCGCGGTGGCGAGGAAACCCCACGGCGGCCGACGCCGCGCCGCAGCCCCGGCCCTCGCCCGGCCAGCTGGCCCCGCCCCTCGGGGAGACCCCGGCGCGTCACCGTGACGACCGGGGCGGCGCGGGGTCCCCCTCCGCAGGGCGGCCGCCCGCTCTCCCAGCGCAGTCCCCTTCCTCACCTGCGGCCGCCGCGCCACGGCCTCCTGGAGGCGCTCATTCACGGTCCTCAGCGCGAGCCCCACTCCCAGTTCGGCGGACATCCTGCCAGCTCTCCACATTCTCCGGGGAGCGACACAGAGCGCCGCCCCCCCAACCCCAACCTTCCGCACCCGCGGCGGAGCCCACCTTCCGGTCCCGCCCCCTCACGAACTGACGACCAATCGCAGTTCAGAACCAAGTTGTCTTATTCAATCCATCCCGGGCAGCGCAGGGCGGGCACGAAGCCAGCGGACCGCCCTCGGCGGCCATCTTAGGGGGCCCGTGGGCCCCGCCGCGGGCGTTGTGGGGACGGTCGGGCTCCCTGCGGGGTCGGAGTGCCCCTAGTGCGGTGTCTACGTCCTCTCGGCCCGAGCCCGAAAGCCAACCGGCCTCTTTCCTGCTGTCGGAGCCATTGCGGCTCCCGACCCCTAGGACTCTTCTGAGGGGAAAAAAGCAGCCCGTGGGTGGCCTAGTGCCGTTCTAAAGGCCGCACGGGGGCTGGGAAGGTGGCTCAGCGGAAGAGCGCTTGCCTTGCATGCGTGAGGCCCTGGGTTCGATTCCTCAGCGCCACATAAGCAGAAAAAGCTGGAAGTGGCGCTGTGGCTCAAGCGCTAGAGCGCTAGTCTTGAGCTGAAGAGCTGAGGGACAGCGCCCAGGCCCAGAGTTCAGGCCCCACGACCAGACCCCCTTGGCCCCCCACAAAAAGCCGAACGGATCCCTAGATGTGAAGATCTGCACAAAAATTCTGGGGCGCAGGTACCGGGGATAGAAACTGCTTAGCGCAAGCGGGATTTTTTTTTTTGGTGCCGATCCTGGGCTTGAACTCAGGGCCTGAGAGCTGTATTTTAACGTTTTGAGCTCAAAGTTAGTGCTCTCCTCCCTTGGACCTCAGCTCCTCTTCCAGCATTTTTGGTGTTTAATCCGAGGTAAGAGTCTCAGTCTTTCCTGCCCGGGTTGACTTAGAACTTCAGTCCTCATGTCTTAGCCTCCTGAGTAGCTAGGATTACATGCGTGAGCCACCAGCTTGTGTGACTATTTTTATTGTTATACTTTATACCACTGTTGTCCTACAAAAATATGCCATCCACAGATGTAATTAAAAATTTTCAGATAGGCCCATAAAAAGTAAGCAATTTTAATGACACTTTTATTGAACCCAATAAATCCAGAGTAAGATTTCAGCCAGCAATCGATAGAAAAACCATATGAGACATTCTTAAAAAAAAAATCATACTAGCCAGGTGCTGGTGGCTCACGCCTATAATCCTAGCTACTCAGGAGGCTGAGATCTGAGGATCACCATTCAAAGCCAGCTCAGGCAGGAAAGTCCAAGAGACCCGTATCTCCAGTAAACCACCAGAAAACGAAGTGGTGCTGTGGCTCAAGTGGTAGAGTGCTCAGCTTGAGCTGAAGAGCTGAGGAACAGAGCCCAGGCCTAGAGCTCAAACCCCACAACCAAAAAAAAAAAATTCATACTTCGCATCATTATGTATTGTTTACATCGTACAGTCTGCTTCATTTGGTGCTATCCATAACTCTAATGATTAAGGGCCACCTTGGCTAGTGCTAATTTGTCAGAGGAAAGCCCAAATGGGGTTAGGCCATCTCAAAGAGCTCAACATACATTCCTAGTCCTGAACCAACTATGAGCCCATGATGAAGAGCCAGAGAAGCACCACAGATATTAACACAACAGGATACTAAACTTATTTGTCAGATGGTAAAATAGTGTCATGGACAAGTAGAAAGACTTAATTTTTGATAAATATTTGGTTACAGTTCTCTCCAGATAGAAGGAGGAGAAGAGGAGAGAGAGACAGGCTAGGCAATCAGAGCAAAGGCCTTCTCCTATAGAGGTTCTACATTTCTTACCATGGCCTTGAGCAGTCCTGTATTCAGGACCCCTAGACATCACATCATGTGGCTTTGAGCAGTAGCACGTGAGAGCCCTTGGGCTCACATAATGGCTGTGGTCCATTATCCCTGGAAGACTTGCATGAGAACAACAGGCTGATTGGACCTTAGAGGTATGTGCCAGACAGAGGGACTAAAGGACTTTCAGAGAGCTTGTGCAGGCTGTTTGGAGCCTCTGATTGGGTCTGGGACTGATTCAGTTCCACAGGCAGTCTCTTGACCTCAAGAGTCATGTAGCTCTCTTGTAAAGATACCTCATTAACCCATGCACTATGCATCCCAGGCAGTGCCCTCCCTTGGGACCCTTCCTGTTTAAAAGGAGCTGCTATCTTTTTCTTAAAAAAAAAAAAAAAATTACCATTATACGTCTCCCTCTCTATGTGGACTCATTCTTTGAGACCATAGAGACACAGGACCTAATCTAAGTATTGCAGTTTTTCATTGTCCGTAGCATGGGATTATCTGTCAACTCGGATTGTAAAACACATTAGGACTAATTATGTTCAAATACTTCAAGTGTCTCTAGATTATGATATATTGCTATCAAAGTGATGAAAAATTAAATGATTAAAATTATTGGAACAGCCCTTCATAAAACGATATAGATATTTTCTGTAAGATACAAAGTAGAAGTAACCAGCAGGAAGTAGTGAAAGGAATGAAAGGGTCATGGAGAAGGATGCTTAGAGAAAGGGTAAAATGAGGGTGAAATACTTTTGAAAAACTATTTGAAAAACATTTTTAAGTCATAAATAGCTCATAGATCTAGAGAATGTATAATCCAGGTGACAATAGGCACTGGACAGGAGTTACATTGTTAGCACTGGTAAATACTGTTAAAGCCACTGTACATGTTAAAGGTAGTCCTTTATTATAAGCACCTCTTAATATTTATTTTTCCTTTAAATAAGCAAAGATGTTGGGAGCTGGGGTGATTTGGTTAGACCTTTATCTTGTGTCCTGGCTGCCTTGAGTGAATATCAGCCAAGTAGCTGGAAAGCCCTCATACCAGCTTTGCTGCTTTTAAACACTCTATGCAGGCTGCTTGCTGCCAAAGTACAACTCTAGATCCAGAAGGCATTAACCCAGTCATGACTATTTCAAACAGCTTATACCAGATCATTTTGCCATCATAAACCTTGGTGAACTGTAGATGATTGTTTTTCCTATATTCCCACTCAGGCCTAAAGGGGAGTACTGTCCTCAGTGCCCAAAAGAAGGCCTTTCACAAAAGGATGACTAAGATTGGTGCAAATACCCTTGCCATAACCTTATTCTGCTGTTAGTGCCAGCTGGGTCACCCTCCCCGTGCTGCTGCCTCTTGCTGTTGCAATATCAGAGTCAATAAGTGACTTCTCTCCTGTGGATTTTTCTTGCCTACTTTTGATTTTTTCTCATTACTAGAGTAGGCTGAACTGCTGATATGAAGAGACAGCTGAGCAGTAGTACAATGACAGTAATAGATGCAGTCAGAGTTAGAGGCGTAGTTCAGTTATTAGAACACTAGGCAATGAGAGAGCGTCAGGTGCTGAGTTCAAGTTCTTGTCTCAGACCAAAAAAAAAAAAAAGGTAGCTAAAGACTTCTAGAGAGAGCCAGGCACCAGTAGCTCACGCCTGTAATCCTAGCTACTCAGGAGGCTGAGATTTGAGGATCACGGTTCAAAGCCAGCCCAGATAGGAACGTTGAGACTCATCTCCAGTTAACTACCAGAAAACTGGAAGTGGTGCTGTGGCTCAAGTGGTAGACTGTTTGCCTTGAACTGAAGAGCTGAGGGACAGTGCCCAGGACCAGAGTTCAAGCCCTACAACCAACCAAAAACAAAACAAAAAAGCTCCAGAGAGTAGCTGGGACAGAAACAACAGGAGCAAAGGTATACAAGACAAAGAACAGCAGAAAAAAGAGAAGGAAGAGCCAAGGCTGAAGAAAGAGGGCTCATTATGCCATAAGGGCTAAGGGTCTCACCACTGTAGGCTTATGAGCTGTAGAACTAGCAACTGGCAAAGGTTGAGTGTCCTGAACTCTAGGCCAGACAGCTATAACCTTTGTTGGTATAGGTCCTGGCACCTGAGGCTTCTATGAGAGTTTAACACTAGTAGATACCACGTGCTGTGTGCTGCAATGAAGATGGATGCTGAGGATTTCAACAGTTGCCAAGAGCCTAAGTATTGATGGTTAAAGTCCAGAGCAAGAGGTAGAGTCATATTAGTCTATCTAGCTCCTAAAGCCTGGATCACTTGGCCCCTGGTTTAGAGCTATAAGCCTGAGTCTTGCAGTCCAGCCCCTAAGCTTTGGGCACTCAATGTCTTGATTGGGAGACTTTCTCACCTACCTATAATTTTTATGTGTGTAGAGCATTTTTTCTGTGGTAGGGACCCAATCAGCTGACTAATAACAGTAATAATACAGGTAGGGGGTCACAGTGCTAAGTAGTTGAATTCATTTAATAGATCAGGCCTTTCTCTTCTGTGAGTTGTAAGACAGGGTCACCCTCACCCTCAATGCAGTGAGCAATTATGACATTACTCTGTAAAGAAAACTTTGGAGGGGCTGGGAAGGTGGTTTAGTGGTAGAGTGCTTGCCTAGCATTCACGAAGCCCTGGGTTTGATTCCTCAGTCACATAAACAGAAAAAGCTGGAAGTAGTGCTGTGGCTCAAGTGGAAGAGTGCTAGTCTTGAGCAAAAGAAGCTCAGGGACAGTGCCCAGACCCTGAGTTCAAGCTCCAGGACTGGCAAAACAAAACTAGGGAGACCAAGGTGATGAGAAGTTTTATTGTGGATTTATATAGGATGCTTTTATTGCTAAGATCCAAATGGAAAAATAAAAAGATGTATTGTTCCTAGTCTCACCATCACTTTGTATTCCAGTCCAATAGGACTTTTGTTTTCTGAAGACAGGGTCTCAATATGTTGCCTAGCCTGTCCTCATCATCCTCTTGCCTCAGCCTTCCATTTGCTGAGATCCCAGGCATGCACTATGATGTCTGGCTCATTTCTCTTTTTCCTACTCTTTTGTAGTACTGAGAATCTCATTTCTAACTTTTAGGATTTATTTTTGGTGCTGCGGATTGAACATAAAACTTTGTGCAACATGTGTTCTTCTATTGAGCTCTATCCTGTTTTTTAAATTTTCTTCTCTACTTAGAAAGATATTAGCCATTTAATTAACTTTTCAGCTAATCC